GCGGGGTCTCAAAGAGTAGTAATGATGAAACGAATTACTTCCGACATCCCCTAAAGTGGAGATTTTAGTCTGTTAAGATTCATCTGGAAAATTGAGTGTACTCTAACAATGTTGTATTCTAATTATTGTTCTTCTCAAATTAGTCTCAATAGGATGATGCTTGAAACACTCATGTGTAAATTTTCACAATGTTAGCATTAATTTTGTTTGCCGATTCAGATTGTGCCCTTTTTTTTAAAAACATCAATAAAGTGATCATTTGCCAACCAAAAGAAACATGCTGAATAGTATGAATATTCTTTGACAGTAGGATGAGTATTGAAGTCGTAATGAGGGAAATGAGTCGGTTTCTTGTATTTAAACAAACAGTGTGATGCATTGAACTTCTGGATTTAACCTTAAGAATTGGGTTTTCGGGACAGCTTGAATTATTGGATCTTACACTTTTGGATTAAAACTCTTGAGACCAAATAAGGTGTAAACCAACCGTGATGTTTTGAAATTGCAGCTTGGATAAGAAAATCTTTCCATGATTTTGAATTTGAATACTAAACCTTTTAAGAAATTCTAAACCAAAACTTGCGGCAAAGTTTCGTATCCGTGAGCGAAGTAACAACTTCTTTGATTTTGGAAAAGAAATGGCTATTAACGTGATGCCTTTTGTATTGAAGTTGTGAATTAGGCAATGGATCTACTTGAATTCTCTTGACTTTTTAGACTTTGGAATTCTTCTTGAAACTTATATCTTTGAAACCTAGAAACAAGCCTTGTGCAAATCATATACAAACTTGAATGGTGACTTTTCACCGTAAACAAATTAGTAACAACTTTTGAACCTTCGAGAATCACTCTTGCAGCTTGAATAAATGATTTGAAATTTAGAACTTGTACTTCGCAAATCAAGTCTCACATTAATCTCCTTAAATTGCATGAGTTAGAATTTCTTTTGAAAAAAACATAAATTTACACGAGAGATTTGAGTGTTTAGAACCGGGAATCCTTTGCCGAAGCCATAACATAGTTCTGGTGCAAAACTCTTTCTAAACACCCCCATATAAACAGATTTTTGAGATACCATAAACAATGGTCCTAACATATAACACTTCTAAAGTCCAGCAATTCCAAATTGAAGTTCATGCTCAAAACTACGTTAATATTCTGAACCACAAAGATTATGTCTTGGCCCTGTCTTCACAAAACAAAACAAACAAACTGGTTAAGATGGTTAGCTATGCATGGATGATCGACTTAAATGATATACGGATGATCAATGAATCTAAGGGTAAAATTTGGGGTATGACAACACATAATGACATACATACACACAACAACACATAATTTTAATTATGAAAAATAATTAAAATAAAACGGGGCGTTACAACCAGCCCCCACACTATTTTGAAGAACAGATAAAGCTTAATCTTTCATCTCCATGGTACTCACCAACTGAGCCACTTGGTTAGAAAGAGGACCAATGAACTTCAAGGGAAGTAAAGCATCATTTTTCACCCTGAAAAGATAGTTAGAACCTTCATTTGCTTCATGAATGTACATATTCTGCTGAAGCTTCAGGTCGTGGATGATGTCCTCCATCCGTTGTTTTTCAGTGCGATGTCAATCAGACCATAAAACCTCTCACTGACCGGATGCACCAAGGGCCAGAGCAGCCAAAACGTGTTAGGCATATTTGGCCAGATTATCCATTTTCCTCCAAAATGGCCCAAAGAGGTTAGTCAAGTAAGCATAATTCGAATCCAGGGGAGGAAGTTGAGGACCTTCAGTAGAGCGGGAGACATATCCCATCAGTAAACGACGAACATTTCGACCATGGGCGTTCGATGAAGCCAGCAGGTTTTTGGAAACAACATTATTTATGACCAATTATACTCCCCGCCTGAGAAGCTAGAGCCTCTCTTTATTAACCATACAATCTACACGGTAAAGAGTAAAATGTATACATCAAAGACATGCATATTAAAATACCATAATATTCAACAGAGTTGAGGCTTACCAAAAATAATTTCTCTCTCTTCCTAAGAACAGGCTTTCATCAACAATCGGATGTCAATAAGACGCTTTAAACGCTTCTTATCAGCCTCCGTCACCGGGGTAACTCCCCCTATATATGCCTAACTTTCGATAAACTTCACCTACTGGTCTCTTTAATACTAAGCCTCTTCAGAGAGATCTTTTTCAGTATAAGAGAAAAAATTATTCCCCAGCAGAAAGTGACACCCAATCTAATACTTAAATAATAAGTCAGAACATCCGTCCTCCACTCCATTACCGATATTATAAATTATATCATGAGCTTCGAGGCTGAACAGGGTTACCAGGAAGAATCGATCTTTAAAGGGTGGGAGCTTCGAGAGAGGTTTGAACCCATGAATAATCGACTTGAAGAGAAGTAATCTTTTATCCCTAGTGTAGGACGTCGAGTCACGAAGACATTTAAAGAGGCGGGGGAAGAGGAAGAGATACACACGGGGCTTTCATTTCACATACTCACACACCAATACTGGTAGAATCTCATATACGCCTAGCATGAAGGGTGAAGTTGTGAAGGAGCCACGGCAAAATGCTTCAGAACCTCTATCTCAAGAGAAGTAAGAGGAGAGAGAGAGGAGAGAGAGAGAGAGAGAGAGGAGAGAGAGAGAGAGGAGAGAGGAGAGAGAGAGAGAGGAGAGAGAGAGAGAGAGAGAGAGAGAGAGGAGAGAGAGACGAGAGGAGAGAGAGAGAGAGAGAGAGAGAGATGAGAGAGAGAGAGAGAGAGAGAGAGAGAGAGAGAGAGAGAGAGAGAGAAGAAAGAGAGAGAGAGAGAGATGAGAGAGAGAGAGAGAGAGAGAGAGGTTTCAGTTCCCAAAAATTAGTATGATGATATCTATGAAAAGACGTTTTGAAATGGGATGCATTAAATGCATGGTTCCTTGAAAGAACAAAAATGGTTCTCCGTCATCTACCTTAAAAATAACCAGGGGTTTACTAGCATCCGGGGTTGTAATATCATGCCCCCGCCTTTCTACATGACGATAAGGGTTTGGGGGACAACTAATATGGGTCGGTCAGACCAATTCCTGATGGATTTCTGCCGGCCATAACCGACCCTGACCAACAATCAAATAAATATCCCGCTTCTTCCAGAATCTTCCTAATATGCAAAGAATATCTTTCTAATGATCATCAAAGATCTTAGTTGTAAACCGTTTCAACGACTCTCCGCAGTTCACTCTTAATCAATGGCGGAGCCAGAAAAATTATATAACCTGGGCAAAAAATTTTAAGACCGCAAATTCACATTATAATATATAAATTGCCTAAAATAAAAGAGATGAAAGAGATCATAAAACATAGTCTTACAATAGCATGTTAAATAGAATTACGAGGCAAATGTCCTTTTCGAGACTTTTTTGCTGTGAATGTTCGAATAATATCATCATCATCAAGTGACTTGAACATCTCCCGCTCGGTGTAACATACCATCAAGTCATTGAACCACACATCGTTGATCTTATTACGCAATTTAGACTTGATAAAATTCATTGCTGAAAAAGCTCTTTCAACGGATGTTGTCGTACACCGGCAATATCAAAGCTAACTCAATAAGTTTGTAAACCAATGGAAATACCAAATGTTTTCTCAGTTTGAACCATCTTTATAGCCAAACTTTGAACATCTTCACAAGTGGAAAATGAAGCATTTCTTTTCACTTGAAGAACATAAGTGTCAAGTTGATCCCTTATTGTTCCACACGGTCCATCATCAGAAAAGTCTACATGATAAATATCAGCAAGACGAGCAAGCTTATCATCATCAAAATTGGAGAAAGAGTTCTTGGGATCAAGACATGAGAAGCAAACAAGAATAATGTTACTTCCCTTCACTAAAGCGGTGATCCATCTCCACACATATTTTGTCAATAGTAACATAAAAAAATCTCTGCACGGTAATGATGAAGATTAGTGATAGTTCTTCCTTCCACCTTTGAACGACTCCGAACCGGTATATGTCGTCATCCATATTTGGCACCGGAACACCTTTAGCAACACAAAATTCTTGGACATCAGCAAATAAATCATCCCAACCACTATCTCTTTATTGTGGCCAACCGAGACTTTGACAACATCAACTAATTCCATGGCAATCATAATATTAAGATCTTTTCTTTGCAAGACATGTGAAAGCTCGTTTGTAATACCAAATAACTTTAACATTAACTTCAAAATAAAAGCAAATTTAAAGCTCTCCATTTTTTTCTATCAAACCTGCTGCTTGAGATGGCCCACGTCCATCTTCATCAACCATACTAAGCACATTTAACACGGAGGACCACATTTGATCCAAACGAAGCAATGTAGTATGACGTGAACCCCATCTAGTATCCCCGAGTCTAATGAGACTAGATGATTGGTGCAAGCCCCTTCCTCTAAAGATCTCACCACTCTCAAGTTTATTTAAAATATCTTGGTGTTGTACCTCCGTCAAAGCATCCTCCTCTTACAAGAATGCACCTTGTTATGGTCACAATCAAGGAGATGTACTCAAAGAAATCATGAATAGATGAGCAACTACTAGCAATAGACACAACAACCAATTGCAAAACGAGTGAGCATAACAATGGACATAAAAAGCATAAGGGTTTTCATCTAGAATCTTTCTTTGCAAACCATTAAATTCACCTCTCATACTTGAAGCTCCATCATATCCTTGGCCTCGTATCTCTTGAAGATAGATAACGTGTACTTATCTCAAGAATACCATAAAGAGCATCATTTAATGACTCAGATGTCGTATCTTTGACATGATATAGAGCAATAAATCATTCTACAACATTCCCTTTGCCGTTTCACAAACTTAAAACAAATTCGACAAGTTTACTTGGCAGCATAAAGAATAATAGGTAATGAAAATTAGAAATTGGAAAATACAACTACTAACCTCAACATCACCGCCATTTGCTCTTTGACGGATATATCACGTGACTCATCAATAAGCACGGAGAATTATCTATCACCAAGCTCTTCCAAAATCACCTTGGTAACTTCATGTGCGCAACACATTGCAAGCTCCTTTTGAATGTCACTGGAAATCATTATGCAATTTTTTCCACCATGGTCAAAAGCGTCTTGCAATTGTTCATTCTTAAATTTTACCCAATCTACCATCTCTCTAAAATTTCCCTTATTTAGAGAAATAGAGGATTCATCATGGCCACGGAAAGACATGCCTTGTGCAATGAGATATCTTGAACAATCTAAAGAACAAGTTAAACGAATCTTATACAATTCTTTTGATTCCTTGGTTACTTTAACAAACTTACTTGCCACACTTTGTCTTTGATTATTGTAATCATCGTACTGCTTGACACATGAGTTGTGAAAACTATTATGACTACCAACATGATCTTTCAAGCCTTGAGATGCATGCTTCCAATCTTTATATCCGCTTTTAGTGAAGACTTCAAAACCAAAGTGCTCGGCCCTCCCAGGTTTCTTAAAGAGAAAGCAATAAAAACAATAAGCTACATCCTTGATCTCACTGTATTCTAACCATGTATAATTCTTATACCATGATTTACTAAATGCTCTTTTAACACTTCCAAATGGAGTACGAGGAAAGCTTGGCAATTCTGGTTTCATTGGACCTTTCAATATATATGGCCTCCTCACTTGATCTTGAATATCCGGAGCATACTCATTAATTTGTTTCCTACGACCTGAATCACGCACAATCTCATTTGGGTTAAACTCATTAACCACATTAGGCGGAGGTGGTTCTGGTTCTGAATCAACCAAAAATCTCCTCATCTCTGAAAAAAATCCAAACAAAATCACTTATAAATTTTTTTTAATTCATTATCACTTAATCAATCCAATTCCAAACATAATCACTTATAAGAAAAAACACTGAATTCATTATCACTTATAATAAGCATAGAAAATCCAATTCCATAAGCACTTATAGTATGCAAATCCAATTCCAATTCCATAAGCACTTAGCATAGCAAATCCAATTCCAAACAAATTCAATTCTACAAGCATAAAATAAGAAGGACATGGTATGTTAAACGTGCTTGTATATTTATCTTTAGTGAAAATGCAGTGTGTGAAGTTTTTTTTAAAAGCTTTTTAACAATATTTATTATAATATTAAAAGTAAAAAAACAAGAAGGACATGGTACTTACATCAAAAATAAGTTTCTTCTCTTCTTCTCTTTCACATGCGCGCGTTTCACTTTCTCACTCGACTCCCTCTGTTCTTTCACGATGTTTTTTTTTCTTTCGTCGAAGACTCTCTCTCTCTCTCTCTCTCTCTCTCTCTCTCTCTCTCTCTCTCTCTCTCTCTCTCTCTCTCTGTCTCTCTCTCTCTCTCTCTCTCTCTCGACCTCTTCGCTGCTCTTGCGTCTGCGTTATATTTCTCTCTGCGCGACAGACACGGAAAGTCTACGGTTCTTCTCACTCACGCTTGGTTTCTCGTCCGCGGATCCGTGGGTAGTGGTTCGTCGGTGTGAATCCGATGAAGGTGGCGAGTGTGTAGTGAAACAAGTTGAGGAAATGAATGATGGCGGTGAACCCTACTTTCTTTTTCTATTCAATTTTCTTTTTCTTTTTCTTTTCCATTTTTTTAAAACTTATTTTATTTTTTTAAACAACAGGAAAAAAAAATATTGGGCCCCCCAGAGCCTGGGCATGTGCCCAGCCTGGCCGGGCCAAGAACCGCCCCTGCTCTTAATTAATAGTAAAACTAGTTATTTCCTCTCTACAATAAATATAAAGAATGCACCAAAATTAGATAACAAGTTTCAAATACAACTTTATTTCGCTCTTCTTCTCGATATATTGACATGAGCATTGGAGTATTAATCTTACAAATATTCACTCCACCGCGTCGAAAGCAACAATCTGCCATAACCAAAGTTCTTCACCACTCATTCTAATTTTCGAACAAAACATTTTTCTTTAATATAATTTTTAGTTTTCACAATAAATTAGTTAAAGTAATAAAGAAATTACACCTCTTTAAATGGAAATGGTATTTTTAAAATAAATTAAAATGATTAATCATATAGAAATAAATCTTATATAATTTATAAAGTTCATTACTTTTTTGAATAATTAAAATAGAAAAACGTATTAGAAACGATAAATCATTCATGTAATAAAAAATTTATTCTTTTTAAATAAGCAGTCAAGAGTCCAATTCTTGACTATTACAAAGATATTTGATTGAGAAGAGAAAATCAACTTTATAAATTTTGTTGGTTCTTTTTTGATAAAGATAAATTATTAAATAAACATTTTATAGATTCATGACAAAAAGTAATTATCATTAAACGATAGTAAAAATTTCATATTTACTACCTTCAAATTAAAATATAAGTTCAAATAATAGTTAATGTATAGTATACATTTTTAATCAGATCCATAGATTTTAAATGCCATTTTCATTTATATTTTATTCTAAAATAGTATTTTATAATAATAAAAAGTAAAAAAGTACAATGACTTTTGTTTGAACTTTTTAATTAAAATTTGAATTTCCTCTACTGCGTGGTATGATATAGGTATATATATATACTAAACTGCATATACCCATCTTGATTAATTTATATAAGTCTTTTTTGGTAATGTTTATACACACTTTTTGACATTTAAATATCTACGATTTTTTTCTTAAGAAGTATATATTTACAATTTTTTACTTATATCAATTTTTATGTTTCTTTTGACTCTTCTAGCTAGATTCTATATAACAAATGCATTCTAATTATTTTTATATTTCTGTGACTCAAATTATAAATATATAGTAATTTTACACAAATTAAAAAATAGAATTAATTTTAAATTAATTTAAATTTTGATCCTTCTATTTTATCTGATTTATAAAATCAATTCACCTAATTTAAATTAAAACAGTTTTGCTTCCCATTTTATACTTTTACTGTTGCTTCACATTTTATACTTTTATTTTTAAAATTAATAATGTTTTTATTTTTTAAATGATAAAATTTTTCATTGAACATAAATCATTATATATAAATTTATTGTAGAATTTTATAAATAAAAATATAAGTTAAAAAATAAATATTTTTATTAATTTTTTATAAATATATATGAGAAAAAAAATCAAAATTATTTAAATTTAAAATATGAGGTTTAATTTTGCGAATGAGGTAAAAATAGGGCCCAAAAATATAATTTTGATTTAATTTTATGTTAAAAATAAATATTACAAATTATTTTACAAAAATAATTATTTATCAATAATTATAAAAAACTAAAAATATTAAGAAAAAATTTAATAAATAATACAAATTATAATAAACAATAAAAAAATATTTTTTATTTAGATAAAAATATTTTATTAATATCATAAAAAAACATATTTTATTAAAAATGATATATAATATAAACGGGGAATATTACAAGAATATGTAGTCGGTTTTCAAATGTCTAAAAACCATATTTTAAGTTTTCTATATACATATACATCTTAATCATTGAAAATGACATTTTCTAAAAACTGGCCCACATAAAAGTGACCTTTATATATAATAATCATAATAAAAAATATATAATAATTACATGGTAGGCATCTGTCTAAAGTAGTAATATAAATAAATAAAATATCATATATTAAATAAATTATAAAATAAAAAAATAAATAAAATAATAATTGTTGGGCATATCTCTAGCAATCATCACCCGAATAATTCCAAATGAAACAGCGGGCTTATTCCAATACCAAAACCATCAATTATTTTTCAACCCATAACATAATCGCTTTTATAAAAAGCCATCACTCTCATTAAAACCCTTCACAAATTCATACACATTTTCTTCACACAACAATTCTATTATTTTTTGTTATCAATTATCATCATGTTGGGTAAGAGATCCCAGCACTTGATCCGAAAATTTTCAGAATTATTAGTATTCGGTGAAACTGCCACCGCGCTTTTGGACACAATCGGAAGTCCGAGAAGCCCGTTTGAAATGAATTCAAGGATGCAAATTCAATCACCAAAATTTGGTGGTGGTGTTGGTCTTGGAATTGTGGTGGCTCTTGATAAATCCGAGGAAACCGGGTACGAGGTTGTTCCAAAACAACATGTTTGCACATCACCAATCCCAATTAAGCATCAACAGAATCGATTATTTGAAAACGCGATTTTTGTTGGAAGTCCTGAAGATTACACGTATGTTACATACCGTGATGAATCTAACAAACCCATCACTAAGGTTTTTTATGACGGTGGTGAAGAAAGTCGAATTTTGAGACATGATTATTATTATAATGACAATAATAATACCTCAAACAAGAACCACATCAACAAAAACGTTGGTGTTTTCCGAAGATCCCCTCCAACACAAACTTTCCTTGAAGCTGAACCGTCGTTTCTCACTTTGGATTTTCTCCATTCTTGTCATTTATGCAAAATGAATCTCGATGGCAAAGACATATTCATGTACAGGTATTTTCTTTGTTCTAATAGTTTAGTGATACAAATTTCACCAGTGTCTGTTTAACTGAATATTGATCTTCTTTTTGTGTGTAGAGGAGAGAAAGGATTTTGTAGCACAGAGTGTCGATCGAAGCAAATAATGATGGACGAGAGAAAAGAGAAGTGTAGATCAGAAGCTTCAAAGTCTAGGATGGAGTTGTCAAGTTCTTCATACACAAAGGATCAAATGTTTTCAACTGGGATTATGGCACTTTAGCACTTTATGATGAAGGGTTATACTATATATGAAAATTAAGATACTTTGGTCGAAACCAAAAGGAAATTTTGATCGAAAAAATTATAGAGATTTTTGTTAATTTTTGAAACATGATTATAATAAATTGTTTCTTCTTTTTTATTTGGGAATTTTCTGTTGCTGAGAATTATGAACTTGGGATCTCAATTGCACAGATTTTGCATGTTCTGTCCAAAACAAGAACTTGTTCAATCGGATATTTTCTGAATTCGATTTTTCTGTTTCTTTTGCTTGCTGTTTGTTTTTTCTTTCCAGTTGAATGAAGACAAGACAAGTTAAAAAAAATCAACAAAAAATTGTTAGAAATTGTTTGTAAGTTAAATGGATTAAGTTTTAGTGTTTTAAAAAAAAATTATATATCTACACAATTTTAAAATATCATAATTTTACAATTTTATTATTTAAATTCTAATTCTAAATATAATTATTATAAAAAAAAATAAAAATTTAAATAAATTCTGAACAAATTCTAATTGTAATATAAACTAAATAATAAAATAACACATTGTCTAATGAATATAATTCTAATAAAAAAATTGTTCCAAATAAATTTTGAAAAAAATTTATTTATATTTTAATTTTAAATTAAAAAAGATGATCTGAAGTGACATTGTTGTCTAAAACGAAAAAACAAATATTTAATCGGTTGGTTCTTCGATTTTTACCGATTTTGATCAGTTTTGACCATTTCCCACTAATTTAATATTTTATTCGACCCAACAATCAAAATAGACCGATGATCTCTCTGGTTCCCGATTCAACCGATTTGATTAGTCGATTCAGTCTAATTTTTAAAACATTGATAAAATTAGAATCATGCATATGACATTTTTTTAGTAGTATTTCAAGCGCTATTTAAATTTTCTTAGAGTCTACACAAAAGAAAGTTTATGTTAATTCAACCTATTTTGAGTTTGTACAAAATAAATAAAAACTCAAATGCAGTAAAAGAAAAAATGTGGAATTTAACAAGGAAGAGAAGAGTGTTGGAATATTTTTTGATATTATTTTAATATTCTAATAATTATTATGTGTCATATATATAT